GTAAACCTCTGCGAGGACTAGAAACAATTTACTACCCGAGCGATTGCGATTGCGAAAGGTTAATGCGGCGAATAAAATCGCCAGACGCTCATAGACCTATAGAACGATACAGATACACCATTGTCTACCAACATGTCTGTCTACGTAGAAAAATTAGAAATTGATATACAAACACAAATACAAACCCAGACACACACACACACATATATATATAATGGTTCCCAGAACTCAACGTCATTTTCGCAAAACGACAATAATTTTTGCTCGATTTTCCATCAATCTTCCATTTGATGCAAACATACAAGACTTTCAGTTCAGAAAAATTATCAGGATAATTCATTTTATATATCTTATATATAAAATTTTTTTATACGGGTGAATTATTTGATACTTCTCCTAATCGATTATTCAGATTTTGATAAATCTTTCTGAAGTTTGTTAAGGATTTTTTTATGACGTATGTGATTATAAAAATATACCAATATTGTAGAAATTAATGGCAAAAGTTGCAAAAAACCAATAATAAAATTAATAAATTAATATTTGAAACATTGTTTGTCATTGAAAACAAATGAATACTGTCTTCTGCCAAAAATTTCAATTTACTTATGAGCCTAGACGATATTAGAATATGTATAATAAATTCATGATTATGAATAAGAAAAATGAAATGTCTATCTTATTATTGGCAGCTGAGATGTGCCAGAAATTAGAATAATAAAAGATACAGTATATGTATGGCAGATTGAATAATATACATACAAACAAAATTTGACAAATCAATTTACTTAAAATATGAAATTAAGCAATAATCAGGGCCGGTTCTATATTGAATGCGCAAAATGAGGGCGCCAATAGAGATTCGGATATGAGTTTTTTTTTCAATATAATTCAACAAATATATAATATCGTTACATCTTTTACTAATCTTTGCATAATATTTTTGAAATGCGTTAAAATTTTCATTCTAAAACAACAAATGGGAAAGTAAAGATGAATACATACATAATTCGCCCTTTACGATATCAATTAGGAGAAGTTTAAAATGGAATTTTGAAAAATTAAATTTAAATAATCCAACATGAAGTACTAATATTATATTATGGTTATGTTTAATAATGAAATGCTAGATTTTTTTACTCTCTATGATTTGCTCAATAGAACAAATAGAATAAATCGCATAAAATGTTCAAAATAAAAAAGTAAAATGTTTCAAAAGCCAAATATTAATTAATGATAATAATTTTAGTAATAAACTGTTAAAATAGGTAAAATAATAAGGAAAGGGGTGCTAGAAAAAAAAATATGGCTTGCGGGCGCCGAGGACCCCAGGAGCGTCCCTGGTGATAATTTATATTAAATTACTACTAAAAAAAATGTAATTTAGACATTATAATTACTAAAAAAACAGTTAAAACATGATACGAGATTATAAAAATTATAGGCAACATTATCGGAGCAATCATTTTGGGTGGAAAATCCAAGGTGATAATGCACTTTTACCGCGAATACTATAAATTGATTTTTTTCTGAGTTTGTTATACCGTTTAAAAGACTTCAATTTCCAATATAGTGTGGGAATTGATACTCGTCATTTTATTTAAAACAGTTAATACATTTAACATCGCTCATATTGATGTATATGCATTTTGGTGTGAAAAGTAATTTAAAAAACAATAAATATTAGTTTTAGGTAAACGGTGAATATTAGTATAAGATATTACAAAATTGTAGGCGTAGGTACAGGAAACGTGTGTCGGGTCATCTAGTTTATATATATATATATACGATATATATATACTCGTATATATATACTCGTATATATATATATATGTATATATATATATACATATCATAATTATTATAATAATATGTATATCTAAAATATATTGTTCACATTAACCCATATTAATAACCATATATGCTTTAAATATATTGGTGTACATATTATATGTTGTATGAGAGATCAATACTGGCATCTCTCAATATATTCCAAAAATTGAATTCTAGGTGTACTTGGTGAAAAATATTAATTAATATAAAATTAATAACAATCGTTACACGAAAAACGTAATTCAATACGTTATAGTAACGATTTTTTTAAATGTGGTGTTTTATATATGAATTAACATTTCAGTAAATGTTAAACCGACTCAAAGACGAAGGAAAACATTTACAGCTTTAATTAAATTGCAGATGGTTTTTGGTATCAGAGGGTTGTAGACAAATGTGCATAGTATTTTTGTAAAACGTAGATATTTATTTGAGTAGTTTTTTCAGTTTGCACTTAGATAGTTTTTAATTTATTTATTTATCACTTGTAGCAAAATAATTTAACTAAAATTATTTTTTTTAAAATATCGAAGCACTAAAGTATAGTGAGAATAATCAAATTTTTAGCTCATATTATTTTTCATATATTTATTATTCCTTGGCTGATTTGCCAAAGATAAATTATCTTTACATTACATCCACCCTGTCCAATTAAAATTCATAACTTATTTTTATCACCCTCGTTCCCCGCCTTGTGCTACTCCAGTTTTACAAATATTATGTACATTTGAAAACCTCTGCTATCTAAATTATCTGTGTAACATTTTTTCTAAATATTAACAAAAAAAATGTGTTCGACGCTTTTGTGTGTTGTTCTATTGGAGTTTTGGCAGCTTTCTTGGATTTTCTTGGAGGAAACATTTTAGCTTTTGGTTTGGAAGCAAACAGCTGCTGAGACAGTAATGTAAGCTTTAATTATTTCTAATTATATTAAGAATGGTGTACAATTATGTAATTATAATTAAATAGAAAACAATATGTAATATACTCTAGATATGTGTTTATACACGGTGTCCCAGAACTCAACGTCAAGCCAAAACGGGATGCAAGTAAGATCATAACTGTCATAAGATAAATTAGAAAAAAATTCTAGCTTGAAAATTATGAGCTTTCGAGTTCAACCTAGAGCTTTGGTGAAAGTGTGACCATTTTTTGGTTATTGTGATTAATTTTTATTTATTTAGTTCATTCAATCTTTGAATTCGTAATCGTAAATATAACATTTCAAGGACCACAGTCGAAAATAATTAAACAATTTATGCCAGTTGTTAAAAAATGAGATTTATTGTAGAACTATTTTTCCAAAATGGTCAACTTTGAAAACTTCTAATTTTTTTCTATGACAGTTACAATCAATACTACCACCACATTTCGGCTTGACGTTGAGTTCTGGGACACGCTGTATAAAATAAAAGTATAAATTTTTGATAAATTTTTAGATGATATTGTTACTTGTTTTTAGAAAAGTTTTTTTTAATTATAAGCCCGATTTTTTACTAAAATAAAATTGTTAAAATTAAATAAAATAATTAAATCAAATAAATTATAGTAACTAATATAAAAAATTAAATTTTTCTAATTCGAAGTAGTTCAGAATTAAGGTATTGTACTCAAACATCATGATAAAATTTAGTTTATTTAATTAAATATTTAATACTATACAGTTCCTTATATAATTCCTTTATTTTAACAATTCGAAAATAAATTTTATTAGATATTTTGCACTTTACACAAATATAATTTTAATTTTGATTGTTGCAAATAGAAAATCGTTTTTTCGTTGATAAATCTTAACTAAAGTGTATTTATTTATTAGCATACAAATAATTAAATTGATTATCTTAAAATCAAAACATATTTCATAAAAATAGTTGATAGCACAGTCTTAGTAATAATTTTGATTTCTATTTAATTGGAAAAATTGCTAATAACTTAATAAACCCTTGAATAAGCTTTCTTTATTATTTTACTCATATTTATTATTTCATATTAATTTTATGTGTATTTATTTGGTGAGTATATTTATTTAATGTATAGTTTTCAAAAATAAAACAAAGCGAATACGAAAAAAATTTATAGACATTAAGATTTTTTTATTTGCGAGATTTATGCGATTTTTGAAAGGCCTACAGTAAAAATTTTCATTAATCTAGAATAATGACGCAGATGTAAGAAATACCGGCAAGTTATAATTTTTGTTTGCACAAAGTTGTGATTGTGTGTAAAAAAAATTGTAAAAATCGGTATTTTGGAATGAGCCTTGACAAAAAGTTTCTAAAAAAGACCTAAGAAGCGTTTACAGGCTTCGAGTAAATTGGCCGAGTAGATGTTTAGAATCGTGGGTATCAAAAACGGCAGTTTTGAGTAAAACTAGTTTAAATAATTGTTTCCAAAAAATTACGACTGTACGAGGAAAAAAATTACAACTTTTTTTGTTGTCTCGAATTTTTTAAAAATAGTAAAAATCAAATCGAATTTTGGAATTAGCGGAGAAAAGTTTATAAAAAAGGCTCAGTAAAAATTTCAAGTTAATCGATCGAGTAAAAGTTGAGAAATCGTGAGTATCGTAGATTATACCAATGGTTCTAGGCCACCAAATAATCTAAAGAAAAAAAAAATATTAATCTAACTTGATGTCGCAGATGTATTAAATACGGACACATTAAAGTATTTGTTTTTACAAAATTTTTTGATATTTTCAAATTTTTTAAAAATAGTAAATATCAGAATTTTAGAATGAGCCTTAACGAAAAGTTTATAAAGAAAACACTGTGAAAATTTCAAGTAAATCGGTTGAGTAAAAGTAGAGAAATCGTGGGAAAACTATAGTTTCGAGTAAAACGCGTTTAAAATTTTGACGAAAAGAGGATTATCACGGTCAAATAGCTATATCCCCGAAATTAATTTCAATTTTAAAAAATCCTCACATACACATATTTTTAAATAGATAAACTTCGAAATAACTAAAAACTAAAAATTGGTTTTTGAAAATTCTGGAATAGAATTTCTCCTTAACAAAACATCAAATACTTTAATTCATCATATATTTTTTATTTCACTAATTTTTTATAAATGCAACCAAACAAAATTTTACACCAATAATTGTACACCATCTCTAAATAATTCAATACAAATTTTCCCAATATAAATATATTTTTCACTTTTCCAGCCCGATTTTAGCAGTAGCAGACTTCCGCACCATAACCTATGCAGACGGCACAACAGCATCATCCTGCGTAACACAAGCAACGGAAACACTTCCATTTTTATTCTTCCTGATGACCATTTCCGTGTTCTTCCTGCTTCCGTTCATAATATTATTGGCGCTGTACGCGCGGATAGCCCGCGAACTAATCGCAGACGCACCGAACAAACACTCTGAACGTTGCAACAGAAGACACTTGGTTATTATGTTGGGAACAGTGGTGTTGGCGTTTTTTGTATGTCTACTCCCATTCAGATTGTTGACTCTATGGATTATAATTTCACCAGATGAAGCCCTGGTGCATTTGGGGGTGGAAAGATATTATAATATTTTATACTTCTGTCGCACAATGCATTATTTGAATTCAGCTGTGAATCCTGTCCTCTACAATTTGATGTCGTCGAAATTCAGGGATGGTTTTAGCAGTGTCTGCGGATGTTTTTGCTGGTGTTATGAAAGAAGGCCTTTGAGGAAACGAAGTGGTACTATTTTGACGACAAGTACGAGTGCAAGTGGAAGGAGCAAGCAGTCTTTGAAGAAACATAAAAATGTAACACCTGTTAGTTCTACTTCGGTAGTGTTGCCAGCGGGTAGTGATGCGCAGAGGCGCTCTTGAGGCAACATACTGATGAGTCTGTGTTGCCTGATTGCAATGTGTAGTAGAAATATGAAAATAAGTTTTTGTTTTGCGAATATTATTCTAATTTTTGCGTACAATATTTTGTCTATATATCTAGAGAATATGGACAGCAAACCCAAACGGATCTCTTTTTTGTCAACATGTGTGCTTCCTTAATCATTGGTCACGTGGAATCTTTTTTATTATTTTTTTTTTGCGAAAAAAAATTATTTCAGCTAGTTGAAAGTGGCATTTAGCCTTAAGTTTTAGCCCTACCTAAATAATATTTTTACTATCCAATGTTTACCAGTTACAAATTTATGTTTTATAAATTTAGAAAATTTCAAAAATAGTCAAAAAGTTCAGTTCTAGAAAGTAATAAAGTGGGGGTGTGTCACAAAATTAGCCCATGATTTTAGCCCTCCAAATAATCAGAAGAAAAAAATATATATGTATTATTAATCTAGATTAATGTCGTAGATATGTGAAATACGGACACATTAACATACTTGTTTTCACAAAATTGCAACTGTCTGAAAAATAAATTCACAACATTGTTTTTATAGTCTCGATTTTTTTTAAAAAATAGTAAAAATCGGAAGACACTCTGTGAAAATTTCAAGAAAATCGGTCGAGTAAAAGTTGAGAAATCGTGGGTATCATAAACTATACCAATGAAGCCCTCCAAATAATCCAAAGAAAAAAATATATATCATTAAACTAATTTAATGTCGCAGATGTATGAAATTCGGACACATTAAAATATTTGTTTTCACAAATTTTTTGATATTCTCGAATTTTTTAAAAATAGTAAAAATCGGAAATTTGATATGAGCAAACAAAAGTTTATGAAGAAGACTTTATAAAAAAAATTCAAGTATATCGGTTCAGTAAAAATTAAGAATTCATGAATATCGTATCGAAAACGACAGTTTTAAGTAAAACTAGTTTAAAGTTTTGCTGAAAAGGGGTTTATGATAGTCAAACAGCTATATCTCCGAAAATAATGTCAATTTTGAAAAATCCTCTCGTACACACATTATTTAATAGTTAAGTTTCGAAAATACCAAAAAATTAAAATCGTTTTTTAAATTCTAGAGTAGAATTGCTCATTTTTGCCTATGTACATTTTTTGCCTATAAATATAGAGAATATAAACAGCAAATTCAAACTTATTTTTTTTGTCAATATTGTGCTTCCTTAATCATTGGTCACGTGGAATCTTTTTTGTTTTATTTTTTTGCGAAAAAGAATTATTTTAACTAGCTGAAAGTGGCATTTAGCCTTAAGGCAAGTTGTATGTACTTCCCGAAATGTGTAAGAATTGACTTAATCAATCGATATTGAGATTTAGATATTTAGATAAAATTTTCAACTGTTTATTTTAAAAATAAAGTTTTCGCTTTCAATTAAATCTAAACATTGCGATTTCGAATAAAATTTTTTCAAACACATTTAAATTATTTGTAATTATATTAATTACGTTGCACATACACGTACTTGTATGCCTTAAAATTGTAGCTTATTATTCCATATTTTAATAAATTGATAATGTTTGACTCATCACATCACAAAAGCAACTTTTGACACAGATTTTGACTATAATATTTTCTCAAACTTTGATAAATTTTTAACATTAAACTATTTGCCGTAAGGCCGTAACATTGTAATATGTTTTATGAGATCGTAATATCTATTGCCAAAATAAAGGTTCATAAAAAAAGCAAAAAAAAAATTTTTCCAACAGTTAATTTCAAGAAAACGGCCCGGTAGATTTTTACCTAAAAATAATCAGTATCATTTTCAACCAATATCTTTCAAACGGTTTTGATTTTTTAAAATCAATTCGGTAGTATGAGCTTAAATGTGAACGAAATGTTTAACACTTTTTCCAAATTACAAAGAAACGTTTAGGTCGATCGTCAAAACAAAGAAAAGGTAATCCACACCGAAATACATCGATTGGTTTTTAAAATTTTGAAATCGGTTCAGGCGTTTTTAAGCAAACGTCGATGAAAGTTCAAATTTTGGCAAACGCCAAAAAACGATACTAATTTTTGCAAACTAACACGATTTTTTAAAATTAAACGATTTGTCGTGGAATCTTGATATTTTAGTATGATCTATAAGACTATGGTATCTACCGTCAAAAAAAATCATAAAAATAGTCAAAAAATTTTTTTAAACTTTATCACAGAAAACGGCGTGGCCGATCTTTACCCGGTCGAAGAATTTCTTTCAAATAATTTTTGAATTTTTAAAATCAATTAAGAATTATGATAATAATTCAAAAATATTTAAGTATAAAAACAAAAGTGTTCCATTTACAACTGAATGTAACATTCTGCTTTCAACTGAATAATAGTAAATAATTGCTTTAAAAATCATAAAAAATGTATTTATAATTAAAAAATATATTAATGAAGATAGATTAACTTTTCAAGTTAATGTATAAATACGCATTTGTTAGGTATGTAATAATATATAAAAAAAAATATATATTTTATGCCAAAGACTAAAAACTATATATATATATATATATATATATATATATATAATTTATATATATATATATATATTCAATACTTTTAATTTTTTATATAAATGTTTTTTAGCTGAGCTTCTTATAATTCTGTAACAAATTTAATTTTTCTTAAAAACGATGTACTATCTTTCAATAAATATTATATTATATAATACATAAATTCATAAAAATAAAAAGAACAAAAAACTACAAAGAACTAACAAAATATGTTTGAAAAATTGTAATAAGTCTATTAATTGTATTTGTAAGCAGTATTAAAATATTTTTGTCAGTAAATTTATTAAATTTATATATATTTTTAGTATTACGTTAAAAGAAATATAATAGCTTTAAGTAGTTTTCAATAATAAAAACTTTAGTTTATGAAATTATAATAAATTTTCTAGAAAAATAATTAGCAAAAAAACTAAGATATTTCTAGAAAAGATGGATTATTTTAAGAATCAGTCAGTATCGCAGAATAACTTGAAATTGACATTTTTTTAGATAATGAATTTATTTAACAAGATTTTATATACAGTATAGTATTTATTTTTTAAGGTTCAAAGATCAGTATAATACCTAAAAGGTTTAATGAATAGTCACTATAAGTCATTTTTGAAAATGTACTAATTCAATTTAGTTCCATTATTTATAAAAACAAACAATCGTGTAGAAACAAATGTTGCATTAAATTGTATACTATTAAAATACAATTTATATTTGGTACACAGATATTTAAACCATTTCTACTAATAATTAAAAATATAATAACAATTCAAAATATGTCATTCGAGAAAAAATTAATATATTTTATTTATTTGAATAAACATTATTTTATGTAATGATATATTTATATGTAACAAAACGCATTTATATATTTATTGTAAAATTTCATTATAATCATATTATATTTTGTTAAGGAATTAAGGAATATTATTTTAAAATTATATTACTTCAATTTTTATTTGTAAAATGTTATTTAATAAAATGATATTCGTTTTGTGTTTGCATTTATAATAAATAAAATATAAAAAACATGTTTTTTGTAGGTAATAAAATATAATTTATATTCAATGATTTTTATCGTACTAAATAATTGAACAGGTGAGTATTCAACACATTGGTTACCATGTCAGTCATATGTGTCTGACACTAAGAAAAAATTAGTTTTATCATAATGTCATGTGTCGTATTAAATATTAAATCATCATACTACGAATATCATTTTAATATAAATACTATCCTTTATTTTGTACTGTTTTATTTAAATGTATGTTATTGTTCATCACTGTTACTAGATGTTAAATTATTTAACAGTTGTAACAAATATTCTAATTAAAAACAAAGGAAAAAAATGTGTGGTATAAAATATAGTGTTCTCCAGGAAATTTTTCTTTCATACATTAAGTTTCTTTGATAAATTTTTAACTAATTCTTTAATAAAGTTGTCTAGGCTTATTTAAAAAAGTTCTGGTATTATCGTGGCAATTAACGTGTTAAGAAAACAGATTTGCCTTCACTGGGTGAAACGTAATTTAATATATTATTAATACATCACAGGTAAACAGGAGAGAAAATAAATCACCGAAATAATTTGAATAGCGCGCCGAAAATTTGTATAGAAGAAATTAGAGTAAAATGAGATAAAATTAGCTGTAAGACAAGTTGCATGAACTTCCTGATATGTGTGAATAATCGACTTAATTATTAAAAAATAATTAATTTATGAGTGATTAAAATTATTCCGAGTGGATTTATTACACATAATTGAACACAACGTTAACTAGTAGTATTTTCTAAAAGCAAATTTTCACATATCAATAATTTTTATAATTGAACCAGTTGCCGTGGGATTTTAATGGTTTAGTATGTTCATTAAGACCAAGTACTCTATCGTTATACCAAGTAAATCGTCTAATTTTAATTCTAGCTAACGTCAAAAAAACTACTCATTTTCTCAAACTTTGATGAATTTTTAAAATTAAACTACTTGTCGTAAGGCCGTAATATTTCAGTAAGTTCTATGAGACCATGATATATATCCTCAAAAAAAGTTCTATAAAAATCGGCTTAAATTTTTGTTTTAACAGTTAATTACAAGAAAACGGCTCGGTAAATTTTCACCTAAAACTAATCGATATCATTCCCAACTAATATCTTTCAAACAGTTTTTGATTTTTTAAAATTGATTCGTTTGTATGAGCTTAAATTAAACGAAAAGTTTAACACTCATAGAAATACATTGAATGACTTTTAAATTTTGAATCGGTCAAGCCGTTTTTGAGAAAACGTTGATTTAAGGTAAAAAATCTGTTCACACACACACACACATACACACATACTTTTTTCCAAAATTGGTCTCATTCGATTCAGAATGGCTTGAAACGTCGAGAGAACATAAAATTAGCGAATCGGATTTTTTGATGAAAACATAAACTTCTCTAGTTGTGTAAAAATATGACCATTAATTTAAATCATTATATAATATCAAGGACCACGTACGTGATGATATACGTATTTGTGCAGTTGAATATTATATAAACTGAATTGCAAACTTAAAATTATTTATTTGAAGTATATGAGTGACCTTGAAAACTTTAGCCAAAATTCAAATTAAAATCCGAATTATTTTCGATATTAAAAAAAAAATTGGAAATAAAAAAAAATCTGAAAGCAATTGTTTTGTTAACACACGCAGAAAGTTTTTTTAATTCATTCAAATCGGACGCTTAGTTCACTCAAAAACTGCCATTTTTTGCACATTTAGCTATGTGGCTTCGAAATGACGGGACCTGTCTTTGCCAAAAACTAATCACTTCTCCCAATCATTACAAATTGAATGTTTTTTAGATCATTCAAATCCGATACTCCGTTCTCTCAAAAACTCGATTTCTAATTTCTGCACTCTTTGCTCCGTCCCTCCGTAACGGCTGGACCTGCCTTTGCCAAAAACTAATCAGCACATCTCCCTATCAATAGGAATTGAATGTTTTTGAACCATTGAAATCGGTTGATCCGTGCGCCTAAAAACATGGACAAACAATTGTATCCATACACACACACAAACATCAATTTTTTCTGAGGTATGCCAAAATATTCAGAAACCTCTAAAACGTGAAAATATGCAAAATTTTCACTTTCCATTTTTCGACGATTACAATAACTTACCCTACGGGAAGTTAATAAGTCGATGTACATAGGAGGACCTTCGATAAAACAAAATTCCGGTCCCGGATTTCATATTCTTTTGCATCATAAATCACCGTTTCCATGTTGTCAGCTTCATGTGTAAAGAAAAGATAAGACAAAACACGATTCGAGGGAAAGAGTCGTCTGAAGATGCATTTAAAGTCTCTCAGAAGAAAGTTCAGGATATAAATTGAAAAGTTTTTCAACTATTATATTTATTATGAGAGAGAAGGAGTTTAGTGAATTCGAAATGAATCGCCCGGTAAAGTCGTGTGATAATAGAAAATTAGTTGAAAGTGCCATTTTACCTTAAGGCGAGTTTCATGAAATTCGTGATATGTGTAATAATTGCCTTAATCAATTAATTAGGAAGAAACGGCTTAGCCGATCTTTGTTCAAAACTAATCCGCACGATTCCCAAATAATATCTTTTGAATTTTTAAAATCGAGTCAGAATATTTGGCAAAAAAATTTCACTTTTACTTAATTATGAAGAAACGGCTCGGCCGTTCGTCGCACAAAACTAAAAAACGCTAGACCTCATCGAGATACATCGAATGGCTTTTAAATTTTGGAAATCGATTCAGGAGTTTTTGAGAAAACGTCGATTTAAGGTAAAAAATCTGTTTACACACACACAAACTTTTTCCAAACTTGATCTCATTCGATTCCGAATGGCTTGAAACGCCGTGAAAACATAAAATTAGCAAATCGGATTTTTTGATGAAAACGAACTTCTACGAGAATTGTATGTATTTTTCATATATTTTTAAAATTTACATTAAATTTATATTTTTATAATTTACATTTGCGGACATTTGCTTAAAATTAGCACTACGTATTTTTAACCAAAAACGCTAATTTATTTGTGAAGTTAAAAAAAATAACTTTGAACAAATTTATTATAATAATCAAAAGTCCTTATTTTCAAATAAAAATAGAATTAAAAATTAGAATTGTAATATGCACTATTGACTATTGTTTTTAAAACCCGAAATAAATAAAATGAAATGTATTAAAGAAATTATTTTAATTTATATAATAACAGATATTATAAGTGTTTGAAAGACATCTGTAGCAAAACACATTGATTATTTTTCCGTGAAAGCAAAAATTTTATTTTTGAAATAGACACTTTCACAAAAATCCTTAAAAAAATTACGTGATTAATGGACGACCTCTAACGCGCTTGTGGGATAAAAAAGAACAGACAACAAATTTTTGAAAAATAGTAAAAAATACACATTTCTACAATGATGAATTGGCTGGAAGTTTTACTAAACATAGTCAGATAGTTGTTCGTTTGATACGTGTTACTTGTTATGATATAATTGGTTTGGTTTTCACAATATAATTTCTCAAAGTCAATTTTAATTCGTTAAATAATAAATCTTAATCAGATTTGCTTCAGAATTCGTTTTGAAACTGTATGTTCTAATTAGGCGTTTTATGAAATTTTATACCACGTAGCATATATTGTTTCCTCTCGACCCTTTGTATATAATATAATATTGATTAGGGGAGATTGGACCAAAATCACCCTTCGAAAAAAAATAATTAGTTTGTATGTAATAAAAATTTAATTTCACGTTCATGACTTCTGTATGTTTGAAATTAATTACTGAAATAAGTGTTGGGAAGGCAAAATTGCCCCATAAATCTACTTTTTTCTGTATTTTTATAGATTTTTTTTATGTTTCAGTCCAATCCTGGTGGTCGCTTCCTACCAGTACGAGGAATACTTCGACGGATCAATCGTCGCCGTCTGTCTGACCCAAGCGGATTCCTTCTGGCCAGCTCTATTTTTCATATCTTCAATTTCCGTATTTTTTCTCATCCCTCTTGCCATCTTGGTGATTTTATATACCATAATAGCCAAAAACCTCATGGAAAATCCAATGACTGCAGTATCGCACGGAAAAAACGGTAACAACATATACAAATATAGGCGGCAAGTCGTGGTGATGTTAGGGGCTGTGGTTTTATCCTTCTTTGTATGTCTGATGCCCTTTCGTGCCCTAACTTTGTGGATCATAGTAGTTCCACCAGAAACCATAATGTCTTTGGGCTTGGAAGGATACTACATCCTGCTGTACTTTTGCAGAATTATGCTGTACATAAACTCAGCCATCAACCCGATTTTATACAACTTGATGTCATCCAAGTTCCGGGAAGGTTTCATGAAACTTCTTGGTTGTCACAAATTACGACGACTCACCACTTCGAGTGATGGTAGAAAAAGTACTTTCAGAACTACTTCTAGTACTTTATCCAGCAATACTGATTCTTTTTGGAGACGATACAGTACCCAAAAAGCTGCAAAAGCAGGATCTCCTAAACATAAGAGCAAAATTGCAACTTTGTTGTTTCGGAAAGAAACTTTGGATGATGCTGAACCAAGACCGATTAGTAGTGTTGAAGCTCCTAGTAATACTGATCCTGATGAGATTAGAAGTTGTGCTGACAGAAGTAGTAAGAATAATAATAAGCAAAATTATGTGAGGAGTTTGGAAGAATCGCAGTTGGTGCATGAGTTGTCGTTTGCTAAAGAAAGTTTTGTCTAGGGATAAAGGACAAGTTTCAATACTCTTGAATTCAAATAGAATTTAAGTTTTCGAAAGTATCTTGAAGTAAAGAGTTGTATGTATTTTTTCACTACACAACAAAAATTTAAATAAAGAAAATTGACCCCAAAATTTAAAAACGTATTGGGGTTGCACAATTTCTGTTGATTCGGTACAAATTGTTTGATTTTTTTACATAAATTTTGATTTTTGGCCTATATCTTCATAAAAGAAAATGATGCTGAAAAAATTTCGCATTGAAAAATCGTAATTGTACAATGTCTAAATCGTAAATTTAGACAATTCAAAAACAAGGCTGAGGAAGTCTTAATCATCAATGAGGAAACATAAATGTTGCAGAAAAAAGGTAAAATTGTTCTGGAGGCCTAGAAAAAGTGAAGAAGTCGCAATTGGTCGCAACTTTGAATAAATGTTATCTAAAAAAATGAGAAAAAGCATTATGGAACATTATTTTTGAATATGTTATCTTTGGAAAAATCACATTTGAAACTTTTTTGATTCTTCTTTTTTGAGGGCTGGCAGAATGGCATACAAATTGCCTTTTGAATTTTCTATCTTTGAAAAAATCTTATTTATTTTTGAATGTGTTAACTTGAAATGGTAAATTTTCCATAACCATCCTGCCCATCTGGGTAAAACATTTTGAAAAAAATAATATTTTTTATTGTAAATTATCTTTATTGAGAACTTGTAAAACAAATTTAGTAACGTTTTACTAATGACTTTGTAAATAATTACAATTTTCAATAATTTCGAGACAAATATATTTTAATACTTTTATAATATTTTCAAAAAGGACCAAAGCATATAATTTGAAATACGTATTGGATAATAATTAAAAAATAATAAACTTAGGTCTGATGTTATTAGATATTAATGTAGAAGTAATATATCGAACATAATTTTTTAGAATATTTATTACACAATTTTGTTCACATACATTACATACATACATTACATTACATAAAATTTAGTTTATAATTTTTGCAGAATTACTCGCTATTGTTTTGGGTAACTAATGAGAAAATTTTATTAAAATTTTCTACGTACAAATTTCAGATTTGTAATTATTTTTAGTATTTACGATCTAATATATAATATTCTTGTTATTGATTAAACTTTGAGATTTAAATATTTGATTGTTATAAAATACTTTAAATAATTTAAATAAAACTTTGGTAATAGAAATATTAAATAAAATTAAAAACAAACATTCAATTTTAATTAATATTTTCATTACCAGTAGCAAACTTTTTAATTTTTTAAAATATTTTCAATCAATTTCACGAAGAATTGAAGAATTTCTCAAAGAATTTTTTATATTTCAGATATAATTTAATAAATATTGTCATTAATAATAAATATATTTATCACAATTTATCTAGTTCATTAATCAAGTAGACAAATTAAAATAAGAAAAAGCTTAAGAAAACTGTAAATTTATAGACTGATTAAGTAGATGTTAATTAATAAAAATTAGCTTTAATTTGTATATAGATTTGAACTTGTGTGGGATCATTTAGGAAAAAAATATCATTGAAATTAAATTTATTTTTGTAAAAGGAGTATCTATATATATATAATGTTTCAGAAACAGAAAATTCAATTTTCTAATTTTATGCTCTTAAAAACCGATTTCAAAAATTTCAAAAGTTTCAATAATACAAAGATTTTCTGATGAAAACAAACTTTTCCTTTGAAATAATTAAAATAAAATTGACATTTACTAAATAATGTTTTTTTTTAAATAATGATCTCATACCGGTTATTTCAAATTATGCAAATACCTGTATATGTTATACATAATTAATGTTATATAATTTTTTATATACTTAAATGTAAATGTGAGCTTAAATAGATTTGCATAGTGCTTTAAAATTATAAAATATATAAAGAAGTTGAAAATATATTGTTGACGATGGAAATCAAGCTGGTAATAAATGTAGTATATACTAGCTGTCCTGGCTTTTTTAAATTGTGTCAGTTATAACTATAACTCAAAATTTCGACATAAAAGTTATTTGACAAAATGTCTTCTTATATCCATTCAAAATTTAGAATCTTAATTTAAATAACCAAAATAAAATAATATAATCTAAAAAATCTATAAATATACATTTAATCATTAGTGAAATATTATTAATTAATTCATATGTCCAAATATTTTTACTTTTTTTTATTTATGCATCGTCAACATAATACCAAAAAGTTTAAGGCTTTAAAAACCAAATTCGAATATTAGTATGAATAATTTCCAAAATATAGCAGTATGTAAATATAAATAATAATGAATTCATGAATTAAATTTAGATTTATATATTGATGTCTAGTCAAATATAAGGTTTCTAAATAAATTGACAATAAAAGTATAAATAAACGAAATGAGTGTTACAATGTCAAATCCTTAATGTGTTAATGATTTATATTATTGTTATATATTATTTTATACTGGAATTGTATTAAATTTATTTTTGATGAATTTAATTTTTTATTTGAACAATTTGTTGAATAAAATATAAATACTTTTATTTTTTATTTTTATATATATTTTTTTTATTTTATTTTTAAAGTGTGACTAAAATGTATATATTTTTTTACTGTCTAAAACAGTGCTCGTTGGCCCTTAAATAATCTCTTTTCTAGTAATTTTGTATTTTACTCTAAACTATGTAAAATATTTTTTAGAATTTGTTAAACATACTGAATGATGGCACACATACAGTATCGAAACGTACATAATATAGTCAAAAAATCTGAAAATCATAAATAAACTTGAATTATGCTTTTACTTTGATCTCAAATATCATCCAAATATAGTATAAATATTATCCAAAGAAACTTTGTATCCAAAACCATTATTAAAATATATAGATACATAATAAAAAAAAACTTCTTAAATTTTATCTAGTTATAAATAAAATTTAAAAAAAATACTGCCTGCCACAATAAAAAAAAATTCAAAATTACACTGCCTATGAAAAAATATTCGATAGTTATATAAATTTTTAAGACAATATAACAATACCAAAAAAAAAATTAAAAGAAATTTTTCAATAAAATGTGATACACCAAAATTTGCTTCATTTATAATTATTTTATAGAATTAGTAAACTAATAAAAGTCTACTTAGTAAATTAAATTTTACTCAGTAAATTAAAAGTTAACATTTCTTAATATATTTTTGTTACTAATTAGATTAAGCTTTGTAAATGCGATATTTTTATTTAAGTAGCATTTGTATAAACTATTTAATATGTATAGTAGAAATTATTATTATATGAATATAATATATATATATATATATATATTATATATATATATATATATATATATATATATATTTGTGTTACTATAAGTAAAAATGATTGTATCGTTGCTTTACTTTTAAACATAAAGATAAACTTTGGAATTTGAATAAATAATTTTTATATAGAAGTATAACAATATATTAAAAATTTAATTTTGGTACGTGATGGAAATTGTAAGATTTTTTTATAATATTGAATATAATTTTAATAAACATATTACTAAATGTCTATAATCGATATATAGTATTAAAAATATATTGCTTCGCCTATGTAGTAAATGTTGTGCAAAAATAATTTTATTAACTATTATTGTAAAATAATAATAAGAGTAATTTGTACATATCAAACATTATTTAAATAAACTCTGTACTAAATCGATTTGTTTTTATTTTATAAATAAATAAAAGTAACTAGTTGAAAGTGTCATTTTGCCTTAAGGCAAGTTGCATAAACTTCCCGATATATGTAAATAACCGACTTAATCAATAAAAAATGAATTAATGAATAGTGATTAAAAAAGTATTCCGAGTAGATTTATTACACATAATTGAAAACGAACAAACAGGTTAACTCGGAGTATTTTCTAAAAGCAAATTTTCAAAAATCAACAATTGTTATAATTGAACCAGTTTCCGTAAGACTTTAATGGTTTTACTACAGGCCTACAAATAACTTAATTATGATAATTAATTGTCAAATTTTCAGATTTTTCAAGTTGCTTAACCTCATTATTGATTAAGATTATTAACTTAATTTACAAAATTAACATTTGAAGAAGTTTTCGCGATTGGCTTGAAAACAAAGTATCACTTATGCCTTTTTTAAATATTGCAAATTTTTCTAGTATTAAACATTTGTCAATGAAGATAATTAGCAACATTAACTTCTTGTAAGGTAAGTTATGGTGGACGTCTAAAAATCAAAAGTGATTTTTTTTATTTTTTGACCAGGAGGTCAAATCAGTGATTCCCAAAATGGTCCACATAGACCCTCTGGGGTCCATGGCAACTTTCGAGGGGTCCACGGCAGGGAAAACAAAATTTGGGGGTCTACAAAATAAAAATAGGGGCCCACGGCACATTTAGAAATGAACCAAAAAGTAAAGAAAAACATTGCATATGAATTTAGTATTAAGCGCGGAGCCAACGACCCATTGACCACGCATATCTCGAAAACTATTGGACGTCCCAACTTTAAATTTTTGTCACATTCTTAGTAAGGTACAGTAACAATATGTGCCAAGTTTCATCAAAATCGCAATATGTGTTTCTGAGAACATAGCACCTATTTAAATACTAGTATTGAGCGTGGAGCCAACGACCCATCGACCACGCATATCTCGAAAACTATTGGACGTCCCAACTTTAAATTTTTGTCACATTCTTATTAAGGTACAGTAACAATATGTGCCAAGTTTCATCAAAATCGCAATATGTGTTTCTGAGAACATAGCACCTATTTAAATACTAGTATTGAGCGTGGAGCCAACGACCCATCGACCACGCATATCTCGAAAACTATTGGACGTCCCAACTTTAAATTTTTGTCACATTCTTATTAAGGTACAGTAACAATATGTGCCAAGTTTCATCAAAATCGCAATATGTGTTTCTGAGAACATAGCACCTATTTAAATACTAGTATTGAGCGTGGAGCCAACGACCCATCGACCACGCATATCTCGAAAACTATTGGACGTCCCAACTTTAAATTTTTGTCACATTCTTAGTAAGGTACAGTAACAATATGTGCCAAGTTTCATCAAAATCGCAATATGTGTTTTTGAGAACATACCATCTGTTAAACTAGTAGTATTGAGCGCGGAGCCAGCGACCCATTGACCACGCATATCTCGAAAACTATTGAACGGCCCGACTTTAAATTTTGGTCACAAAAATAAAAAGAAGAAAAATATGAATTAGGCTCCAAATTGCTTCCCCTTTTACCATATTCTCTAGATCTGTTCCCTAGCGACCATATACCAATCTCAGATCTTAAAAGGATGCTTTCTATGAAGGAACTTTAACAAAATGATGAAATGATAGCTGAATTTTATGACAAAGTACAAATCGCATTAAAAAAATGTTTTCGAAAAGTTTGAAGTTCGCTATAATCGTTATATCGTCTTCGAAGAAACTATATTGCATAAAAAAAAGAAAATTTACACTTCAAGGGATCACGACACAAACAAGTATGGGAACCTTAGGTTTAGTATGTTCATTAAGACCAAGTACTCTATCGTTATACCAAGTAAATCGTCTAATTTTAATTTTAACAAACGTCAAAAAAACTACTCATTTTCTCAAACTTTGATGAATTTTTAAAATTAAAGTACTTGTCATGATGCCATGTAAGTTCTATAAGACCATGATATATATCGCCAAAAAAAAGTTCCATAAAAATCGTCTTAAATTTTTTTTCAACAGTTAATTACAAGAAAACGGCCCGGTAGATTTTCACCTAAAACTAATCAGTATAATTCCCAACTAATATCTTTCGAACGGTTTTTTGAATTTTTAAAATCGATTCGGTAGTGTGAGCTTAAATGTGGACGAAAAGCTTAATACTTTTTTTTCAAATTACAAAGAAACGGCTCGGCAGATCGTCGCACAAAACTGGCAAACGATTATCTTCGTTTAAATACAACAAATGGCTTTTAAATTTCTGAAATCGGTTCAGGCGTTTTTAGACAAATGTCAAAAAAACGATACTAATTTTTGCAAACTTTGACGAATTTTTGAAATATGCTAAAAATTGAAAAAAAAATGTCCTCATTTTAGCGCGCAAATCGATTTTAAAAATTCAAAAACTGTTCGAAAAATATTAGTTGGAAATCGATCTGATTAGTGGCTCAACGTTCGCCGGGTCAGCTAGTATATATATATATAAATTACGTGCGGCCGGCCCGCCATAAAATTTTAAAATTTAAATTGGCCTGTGGATTGAAAAGGTTGCTCGCCCTTGTTTTAAATAAATAATTTAACTTCCGAGGCATAAACTTAATATAAATCAGATTCAGCTAGTACTTTTGAGTGTAACAAAATATGTACTATATAATAAATTATAAATATTATTTAATTTACTTTCAACATTTTTATTTTGTTTAACATTACATATTTTATATTTCATCTATTCATATATGTATTATATTATTTATATCTCTTACATTTATTGAGTCTATCATAAATACTATTCTTAAAAAACTATTCTCATTTTTCAATAAGATTTACACAACATGGAATCTAATCTCATAGTACGATTTGAAAATAAGCATTTTCATCTAAGTCATGACAAAAATTCAAATACATCTTATTGTGTATTAATATTTGGTCCTTTGACTAGGAAATTCACTAAACAATTAATGGATAAATAATTCGGGAAAGTGTGTTTCATACGTAGGCTCCATTGCTAAAGTCTCGTTTGATGGTAAAGCATTAACACCACGTAAGTTTTTGGAAAATTTTAATGAACTGAATATGTCGTTCAGTTTGTTACGTAAGAGTTCATGCTGTGGCTTTGTTCGGGTCAACAATTCATCAAATGTTCATTTCTAAACGCTTTGGCAAGTCGTTTATATTGTTCCTCTTGCAGTAATTGTTCAGACTCAGTTTGTTCATTTACTGCTCGTTTCATGACATCAAAAGAATATTCTTCGGTGTTAATTTTCCTGGATAATCCTGGTGAACTTGCTGCGCTATCCACATCGTTGTTTAAAGAGCTCAAATCCGTAGCACTTCCTAAAGAAGTGCCAGCCTCGACCCAACTATGTCTGTGACCCATGTTCATAGTTATCGGGCAATGTGCAAAGTGAGCTAGTTGTTTTAATGAAGATCCATCGACACCAACCAATTTCAAGCCTTCGATTAAAGTGTTTTGATCGATCATGAGATGCTGCAAGCTGGATAAAGGTCTTGTTTGGGAACTATCGTAGTGGCTTAAAAGCGGTGGTAGTAAGTAAGGTGCTTCTGTTCTTCGTGCTTCAATGATTTTTTCGGAGTATTCACGTAAGGGTGATACTGATAGTACTTGTGGTACCATGTTGAAAACAGCGATTGTCAAAGATGTTATGTGGTATCGTTGAGCAGGAGTTAATTGTGGATTTGCTATAGCCATTTGCTGAATGCTAAGTATGAGTTGTAAATAATCTACTATAGTCTCGTTTGAAGCCAGTTCAATACAAATTAAAGCAAGTGTTGTATACACAGCCTTCACGTTTTCTATATCAGTATCGTCCAACTGAAGCGAGTTATATAAACTACTGTAAATTGCAGAACCGTGTTTGTTAATAAATATTATATCAGAACGTGAAGACTGCTCCAAGTTCAAATCCTTTGTAGTAATATCAATACTCGGTTCAGATAATTTCAAACCATTTTTATGTCTGTCTAACAAAGTATGGAAAATATTTTGTACCAAAACCCTCATTTTAGCATCTGGAGCACACGCCATTTTCAACAAAGGCTCCAAAAACGACAATTGGAATGTTTTATCAAGATGTACACTGCGATACTTTGTAGCAACCTTCAACAAAGATTTTAACAATATACTTTGTAAAAGAACATCAGACTTTTGCAAGTCCCTGCAAGGATACGGAACTTTATTCATAATAAACATCATAATTTCAATTTTCTGATAATCAGGTAGATGATTAGCAAATTCTCCAAGAGCATTTATAAGACTCTCCTGATACTGATTCTCTACTACTGTCGGTTCAACATTCCTTGACACACTCTTTTTTAAATTAGACATTAAAGAATTAATTATCTCCAACACTGAAGGTCCTACACTCTCGCCTGCGGCTATAGCTATAATTTTAGATAAAACATCAGCAATACTTGTGCGAATTTTAGGATTAGATTCAGAATTTTCATCTAAATGGGTCATCAATGCTTCAACAACTGTGTATGAATATTGTACTTGTATAGCAGACATTATAGTCCTGAAAGTTCGTATAGCAAAAGTATTTGGTACCCACAATTGATGACTATCGAGATGCCTCAAAACAGGTTTAAGTACACAATGTATATGTCCGAATGAAGCACGACCAACAACTTCCCGTAAACATTCTTCAGCTAAAACCGGAGGTAACACTTCCTGGTTTCTAGAGTCTATACATACATCAGTCTCGCATGTTTGACAATTTTGTAAATTGAATAGTAATGATGGTACAATTTTATCCATGTGCTGTTTGTTCCAAATGTTTTCAACAAGATCATCCGAGACAGTTTTCCTTACAACACCCTGCAAACCTTGAACACCAGCCAAACGCAACTGGTTTCTTGTATCGGTATCTTTATGACTGCTGTGACACATCGAAGAAAATTTGGATACAAAGAAGTCGTAACTTCGATGATAAGAAGGAGTGTCTTCTTCAATGTTAGCAAAATGAACAAACGAGTGAGTAGCTAGGATTTGTAGCTGGGGTTCTGAGGATTCTAAGAGTCTTTGAATCATTTTTAAAAAACTGTGGCCAAATACATTTAATGTTTTGGCATGTGAAGCTTTTAGGAGACGATCCATAGCATCCATGGCAATAATAACAAAACCATACCTTCTGCGATTTATGTCCCTGCTAGCTTTTTGGTACAGATAGTCTCCGATTCTGTCCAATTTTTCTGGAGATGATAGAGAATAAAATATCAATTTGTCCATATTGGCTTTTACTAAACCTTCATCGGGATCCACTGGAAATATGTTATCGACTAATCTTTTGTATCTAGGCAATAATGCCGAACAACAGACACAACAACCAATCATTGTTTATTTAATTATATACTAAATACTGTAATATAAATAGTTTTAAATTGTATTATACTTTTATGCAATTTTTGACAGTTCGTAAATGACATTTTAATGGAACCATAGAGTGTGTTCATAAAGATGCGACGCTTACGTTCACTTAACTAAAGCCACTGGCACACTAGGCAAATAGACTAGACCATAGATAAGGACTAGACGATTTCTTTTCAAAAATTATATAATTACGAATATATATTATTCGTATATAACCAGTGGTGTATGGCATCGAGCCTTAAGGTGAATTTCTGAATCTTTCCGTACCATAATAAAGTATTCGAAGAATATCAAATAATATCAAATAATTTCAAATATATTATTATAATAAACACTGAAACTTCCAATATTCGTATTTTATAGACAAAATATAAGAGCTTATAAATTGGACGACGACGCTTATATACGTTTACATGAAAAGTAAATAAATAAAACTTTATCAACCAAATTTAAAATAAAGGACATCATCTAATATTTGTTAGAATTATATAAACTAAATCGCAAAGTTAAAATTATTTATTTTAAGTATATAAGTAAACTTTAGAACTTTAGCTAGAATTAAAATTAAAATCCGAATTAGTTTCGATAATTAAAAAAAAGTATCATATTCATTATTAATAAAATTCATAAATAAAATAAGTATAAATTAATCGCAAAAGTAACTGCATTTTCATTATCTTAATTTTAATTGTTTTCCCACTCGATAGGAGCGCCACCAACTGTAGCACGTAAATTTACCCCTGGGTTTAATTCTGGATGAGAATTAAAAATATAAGAGAGAACAGATAAATCTGAATAATTTGAATAAATAAAATGATAATAAATTATACGCGTATAAAATATAAATTTCAACTAAATCACTAATATGTTTTCACAAAAACATAATAAAAAAAAGTTACACATTTAAAGTACGTGTTTTATGATAAGATAAATAGTTCATTAGAAAGAGAAGAAATTAATCACAGTAAATGCAAAGACAAATAAAACATATGTGTATATTATTGAAGTGTTATACTTTAGCTGACTGATGGCACGCATATAGTGTCGAAACTAGTACGAATACATCATTATGTTCAATTAATTTACCATATATGATTAATTATGTCTAATATGTTTCAAGTTCAAAAAAATAATATGACAGCGATTTTGAAAATCAGTTCAAAATCGAGATAATTAGTTTTTGTAAGAGATCGTCCTGGCCCTTCATAAATTAATTCTTAGAAATTCATAAATAACATATTGAAGATATTTAACAAGCACGTCCAAATATTGTAGAGCTATGAAAAGAAGTTGGACCACAAAAGATCAATCTTTAGGCAATAATGCACATCTGTAACTCAAAACTTTGAGTCAATTATTCAAATTTAAAATGTGACTTCTTAGATAAATAATTAAAAAATAATGTCAATAGTATCCGTAAAAATGTAATTCATATCTCCGAAAATATCAAATTATTAAATCAAATATTTTTTTGAAAA